ATGCAAAGGTTTGAAAAAAAAAGATGTTTTGTTGATTTTCTAGTTGAAAATAAGTTAACAGTGAGCAACTGTAAATATGTCATTATTTGCACAATTTAGTGCACAGTTTGCTTGTAAAAAATAAACAAATAAACATAAAACGCACCATAACTTTGCGCAGACCACATTTAATGTTTTACTTTTTCCCCAATATGTTAAATTCATCAAACAAACAGTAATTGTGCATTAAAATGTGTTCTCTGTAGAGGATGTGTTAATAGCCCAAACCTGAAAAATATCATGAAACCATGAAAATCATACGAGAGAAAGAGAGGGATAACGAGGGAGGTGGGTACAGGAGGATGGACAGAGGAGGGCAGACACAGACAGAACTGGAATGACCTAAATCTTTTTGAGTCGAGACAAGGTCTAAAGTAAATTATTCAGCTACACAGATGCTGCAAAGGAAACATGACTGAATGCCCTGATTCTCACAGGGAAAGGGTCTTTGAGATCATAATTTCTCTGACTGTAAATATGAATCTTTGTTTGAGTTGCTGTTTAGGTGGTTGTTATGCTGAATCATAAAAAGTCAAGGAAGAAAATGTAAAGGTCAAAATTCAGTAAAATGCTGTACAGTGTGGCAGTATTGTTGTATTATTGCTTGTATTAATGATTAAATAAGCATATTATATGCAAGACTATCAAACCAAAAACAATATTTTAAAGATATTTCTTTGTTCTGAGCACAATTAATCAGATTTGAATCAACACCATGATATGATGAGTGTCCATGAAGAACAAATCACTAAAGCCTGGGAAAACAGATCAAACTACATTGTACGTGCAGTCCAAGAACGTCTAATATTAGAGCAGCTGTTCTTCTCAGCAGGGACCAAACCTCAACTTCCTGTGTACGGTGCGAGTGATTTAATTCTGCTATACAGCTGCTTGAAACAAACACACACACACACACACACACACACACACACACACACACACACACACACACCTCTCAAAATAATCTAATCATAACTTCAAACATGATGACTGTTCTCAGTCTTAATGGGTACTGTTACAACAAATCTGCATCACCATTAGGATGTTTTTACAGAATATGTGCACATATATCTAAAAGTGATGCAGCACTAGCACATTTTTGCTATTTGTGCAATGACAAATGGGTCTTTTGTGTTTTATATATTTATTTATATAAAAAAAAAGAAAGAAAAAGAAAGTCCGTATCTTGCAGCGCTAGTTCTCAATGTTACTTCGACAAACTAAGATGTTGGCACATCATCTGACAAGGCAGTCTCTGTTACTCAAGACTTATCAGACATGAAAACCTACCATTTAAACTTGCGGTGGATAAAAGATTTCCCTTTTTTATTTGTGAATATTAAAATGTTTTTATATGTGCTAAATTTTGTACATTTGTTTATATATATATATTTTTTTTTACTGTCGTTAGTTTAATGCATGCCCTTGTGTTACTACAACAGCCCTGCATTATTCAATGTGAGTATGATATCACGTTTTCTTAAAAAATTCCCTAAAACATCAAACGAGACATGTCTCTATCCTAAAATCTCATGTGAACTTACATTTAGCACCACGAAATACTTATTAAAGCCTTTCATTTGTTAAACGTCATTTCAGACAAATTATGACTTTAAGGACCAGGTATGATGTGTCGATATCGGAATCACAGCAGTATCAGCAGATATTTCCTTTAAAATAGACCAACATTCGACCTGTTTCAATTTGACCAATATTTCAAACAGATGATTTATTTCTTTCAGTCTGGAAGCACAGAATGTTTAGGCAGCACTGGCTACTGTGCCAAAATGTTTGCATAATACTAATCCAGCTAGATTTAGTGTCAATTTCAAAATTCCTACATCCAACATCACATCAACACTGTGAGAGTTCATGTTATCAACTTGTTTCAAGGTAACAAGTTATAAAGTTTCATGGTTATTTTTAGATCTTTGTGAGTTGCTGTTAATTTAACTGTAATATTATGTCATATTGGACAATTCTCAGTGGCCAAATTGGAGTCTGTTTAATTTTTAAACATACGAAATGAACTCAGTTGTTATTACCAGTTACCAAATTTTTTAGCTCTTTATAATCCATATCACTGATAAAATGTTCATATCATTCTGGCCCTAATGTTGACATAGGGGTCACAGGGGTCTATGATAAATGAGCAAGCTAAACTAAAAGCTTAAACTAAATTTTGCATTTGCATTGTCCTCAACCTTTAATTTCACAGGCACTGTAGCTATTTAGCATAGAGCCTGGTTATAGAATGTGTGCTCGAAGACAATAATTTGTGGTTTGCTTGAGTCTTGCCCTTCCTGATTTCACAGAAAGATAAAATGTAGCGAGAACCGCAGAAGGCTCCCGGCTCTCGCTGTAACTTAAGTGGAACAAATTACATGGGAAAAAAAAACAATTTCTTCTAAAGAAAAGGAAACAGAGGCAAAAGAAACAACCAATAACAGGCCTGTCATTGCCTCTGGGTGCTGCCCGGTCCCTTTTTTCCTCCTCTGCTTTTAAGAAGAACCATTAAACAACGGGTGACAACTGAGCTGCAACCAAATTTAAAATGTCACACCTCTTATTTACTTGTTTACAAACTGTGTGAGAAGTCTTTGAACAGTTTTATAAGGCTTTTCAAATGCAAGACAGTACATTATTATGTTCTCATGATGAACTTCTCCACTGATGAACCAGAGGTAGCTACAGTGAATGAAAAAAGTCTACACACCCATATTAAGTTGGCTTGACAAAGCAAACTTACTGTTCTTCATTCTATTATTCTACAAATTTTTCACAGGTCACAGTTTTTTCGAGCTAGAACCCCAAAATCCTTCTAAAGGAATATTGCACTTCTGATTTTGGGAAAGACTGCATGTACAGTTTTTGTTGTACAGTGTTTATTTAACATTGCAATGGATTAGTAACACCATAGCGTCGACTTGTGATATAGTAACGGCCTAGCATCGCCTTAACAATCACCTGGGACATCATAGTAGTAACAAGCTAGTAACACCTAAGCAACAACCTGCGATAGTATAGCAATGGTCTAGCAACCCTGTAACGACCCCCTGTATGTCATAGCAACAGCACAGCAACACTTTAGCAACCACCTGGAACACTGTAGGAATGGCCTAGCAATACCGTAGCAACCACTTGGGATAACATAGCAAAAGCTTAGTCAAGCCAAATCAAAGTTCTTTCATGCAATTCCCCCCTCTAGTTGAAACTGTAGGCATATCAGACATTTTTCCTTCTTTAATGGAATCTTGCAAGCAACAGAAATAATAGTTATTTGTAAAAAAACTAAACAAAAAAAAACAACAATTGGAGTTGTGCATCCCTGCAGTAAAGACTCATCAGTAAGTTGAAAATGTGGCACCATGGGGACATCCTAAAAAGTGGACAAAAAGAGGCCTACAGCAATGTTAAAAAAGCTGGAGGAGGTTTTGTCAGGTACTGGCCACCTTTTCACCAAAATGGTCCATCTAAAATATGCAAAAAAATGCATAAAATCACCAAAACAATCTGATGAGACTAAGGTTTAAGTTTTTGACATGAATCCTAAAAGATATGTTTGGTGCAATGACAACACAGCTCATCAACTAAACAACATCATGCCTACTGTGAAGCATGACGGTGGGAGTATCCCAGGTTGGGCTGCTTCTCTTCAGTTGGAACAGGGGCTCTAGACCAGATAAATGAGATAACGACTAGCTCCAATATAAGATATGTTAGCGCAAAATCAGATGGCCTCTGTCAGAAAGCTGAAGATAAAGATTTTCACTTTCCACATTTAATTTTTTGAATATATGGATTGCCATTGTCATAATGAAATTGGATAAACAAAAGTTTTTTGTTTTTTTTTTGTTTGTTTTTTTTTTAATTTTTACCCGATTTTCTCCCCAATTTAGTCGTCTCCAATTCCACCCGCTAGTTAGGACTCCCCCAATCACACGATGCTATCAACGCTAGGAGGGTGAAGGCTAACACAGGCTTCCTCCGAGACCTGTGAAGCCAACCACCGCTTCTTTTCGAGCTGCCGCTCACGCAACGTCATTGGACAGCCGAACGCACTCGGAGGAAAGCGTCAACCGCCAGATCTGGTACGTCAGCTAACAGACGCCTGCGCTGACTAGCATCGCGCTGAGTGATGGGGGGAGAAGGAGGGGCCATCCTACCCACCCAGAGAGAGCGAGGCCAATTGTGCTCTCTTGGACTCCCGGCTACGGATGGCTGTAGCATCACCAGGGATCGAACTCGCGATCTCCTGATGATAGGGCCAACGCTTAGACGGTTGCGCCACTCAGGAGCCCAACAAAAGTTTTTTTAAGCTCAAAGTTCAGGTTGTGGAGATGTTCACCGGTGAAAAGAATGATCATCCGTGCCTGACCTTACAAATGCTCTTTAGAATAAACGGGCAGAAATTCCCACAGACACACTCCAAAATCTTGTGGAAAGCCTTCTCAGAAGAGTGGATGGGCCAAAGGGTGTCCAACTCCATATTAATTCCCATGGTTTTGGAATAGGATGTCCAATAAGCTCATATAGGTGTGATGTTCACATCCTGTTAGCCATGTAGTGCACTTTGGGGTCAAAATATATTATTTCAATGATGGTGTTTAGATTTTTAACACTTTACACTTTTGATACAATACGTTCAGCACCTCTTTAAATCAACCTTTCAAATTTCTATTTATTACAGTACTCTTGAAATCCTAGGTTCTTTTTCTTCGATCATAGCATTTTCACTCCTCACTCCATCACACAGACGCTAATTTAATTTGTCAGTGAATATCCATCCGCCACGAACTGGAAATCTGAATATTGGAGTGGCAGTGTTAATAGAGACATGTGTAAATGAGTGGCAGTGTCAATGCAGTCGGCGACAACCAATTCCAGACAGCAGTGTGTAAGAGGGAATGACAGATACACAGGCTTCCAAAACTGTGTGCATCTGCGCGTGTATGACTCACCTGCTTCCAGTTGTCATACACCAAGATGGAGCTATCTTCATCATCTATTGTCACTCTCCGCTGATACCCCTCATCTACAAAACAAACAGATTTATCCTTCACAAATCTCTTTCTTTACTCTTGCCCTTCCATTATAAACAATCTGCTTGGGTCGAGATGCACTCTGTCACTGAACAGAAGCCGCGCTCCCATCTGAATGCAAGAGCTTGTTATCTGGCAGCCTATTAAATCCACAAGACAGATGAAAGGCTATGCTATTAGATGAATGCCATCGTGACATAACCCTCAGACTTTCCAATCAACCCCTCGAGAGCCCCTTGCTGGTAATCTTCTCTTCATTCTGTGTCTGTCAGATGAGGGGCAGCAGATACTGACTCATAGAGTGAGCCAAAAGCCTTTTGGATCTTGCTTAACCCCTTCAACCACAACTGCAAGGGCTCGTTTTTGGTGGAAATTTCTCCTGGTCATAACTTTATAACTTGCATATTAGTTTCACATTAGTTCTACATCATTTATATTAGCTAGAGATGGCACTGATTCATTATCGGTGTCGGGTTGCTATCAGCAGAAAATGCTGAAGCAAATAACGAAGGGAAAAAAGAATGAATCCAATCCAATCTTGTAACAAATCTGGGCTGACTCGAATCTTGTGATATCATGTTGTTGTCTATGTATTACTTCCTAGGGGTGTTTGAGTACATAGCCTACTTTTAGATGCTCATCTTACATGTTGACTTATTTATAACTTACTTATTTTTGAAGCATTGTAATTTTACACATTTTAAAGCGTGGTAGAAAAAATCTGGTCAGTATCAGCTCGATATCAAGGTTTCAATATTAGCACTTGGTATTAGACGAAAAAGTGGTATTGTAGTGGTTTTAACAGCTGTTACTGAATAATAAGTCTTAAAATTAATAACTGTATAACTGTGTAGATGAAAGCAAAGGTTCAGCAAAAAGATCTAATTTACAAAGTGTTGCACTTACGCCACATGTGGTCTATCAGCCCTGGAGCTAATGTTAACTTAAATGTAAGCAGTTGTGCACAAAAGTCACGGGTCACCCTTCATTTATTTCATTTCCAGTCAAAATGGCCATTAAGTACAAGATCACCAAAACTGTCACCATCAGATAAATAGTACTTAAAGGCTTCATTTTTGAGAGAGAGGAGAAAATTCAAGCTCCACTTTTGCTTCTGATCTGAAAATATCCACAATGTTGTAAATTTGATTTTGGGCTGAACTGATGAAAACGCTGACTCAAAACACAGGAAACGTTTCTTACCACTTGCTTGGGTTTCAGAGTCAACAGAAAGAGATCTGTCAGACAGCCCAGCAAGAGAGAGTGCCAGGGAGGATTTTCCCACCCCATTCTGCCCCAGTAGAACGATTCTCAGGGGCCCATGGTACTTCTGCGGTGGGGGCTTAGAGGGGTGGCGGTGCATCCTTGATGTCACTACTGCTGACCGGCGGAGGGGCGGGCTCATTTACACCTGGCGTCCAATCATAGTCCTCTGAGACAGCCTCTCCCCGCTTTAGCTGGTGTTTGATTGGTAGCGGGGTGCTTCCTCTGCGAAGCGGGGGTGCAGCAGAAAGAGTCAATCCATAACCCTGTAAACACAAGAAAATCTGTAATAAACTTTAAGGTGTTAAAAAATTAGATGTGCAAGTTACCCACTTATACACACTGATACCATGACAGACCCTGGCTTTTGAACTTTACGTTGGTAACAGTCTGGATGGTCCTTGACTTCTTTAGTCCAGAGAACACATCCATTCCACCTCCATTATTTCCACAAACAATCTGAAAGGTTGACTCACCAGACCACACCACTAAGTATCAGCCCATTTCAGATGAGCTTGAGCCCAGAGAAGTTGGCGGCGTTTCTGGACATTATTGACATATGGCTTCTGCCATGCAGCGACAGTGTTTATTGACAATGGTTTGTCAAAGTAGTCCCAAGCCCATGCCAAGGACTAGGCTTTTTACACCCAAGCATGATTACATCACCGTTTTTAAAATGTTTCTAAACATTTAACAATGTTCCAAGTCTTAAATTGACTTGATTATAACTTTTTGGAATGTGTTTCAAGCATTAGTCTCTATTTACAAAAAAGCTGTATTGCTTTTGCTTAAATACAGATCAAAATGGATTTACAAATCACTGCTTTTTTGTTTTTATTCGCATTTCACAGTGTTCCAACAATTCTGGAACTGACTTTGTACTTTAAGAGGAATACCTAGAAAGAAAATAAACAAACAAATACAATAAATGGCATTTTCCATTATAATCTAAGGAAAAATAAGAGAAAAAAAATAATTTGAAACAATGACCAGAGTCTACCATTTTAATAATAGAGCCAATTTCTAATAATATATTTGCATTTCTGTATATTTCTAGTCAGCTGGTACACAAAGCATAGCATCTGGATTGTTACATGGAGTCTAGAAATGAAGGTTAGTCCTTGAGCTACGGAAATGTAGCAGCGGTCAAATTTCTTGCAGCGGTCAGGTTAACAGCAGAGATGTCATCCTATTTCAGTGTCACAAAACAAGCGGACGGCAGTGAGCTGTAGTTTATACAGCGATCTGCACTGAAGTGCTGTCTGAAAATGCTGAATATTGAAAGTATTGACCGGAGACTTCACAGGATGTGACAAGCCATATGTGCAGTCATGTGAATATCAGCCAGCCAAGACTTTACGACTGATATATTATTTATGGGCAATACACTGCCAGTCATGAAGTTTACATCAATAATCTATTGATGTTAGTCTATAATGAAGTGGGGGAAGTTATACATTCAGTCAGGATTTGTTTACTGTATGCACTTATATGGAAGAAGCAAGTCATGTTAAAATTTAATTGCACCTATTTTTTTCATATTTCAGTATAATTGTTCAGATGTACAGTTATTCAGAGTGTTTTGGTGTAAAATGCATTGCAGAGAAACTAAATGAAATGTTGATAATGGTAAAATAAGTTTTGTTTAGGTACTATTTTGCCTTATAATGCCCTGCATGCACCTCCCTGCCATGCATACATTTTTAAAAATACATTTTAGGCCAAAACTTTTTTTCTACAAACAAACAAAAAACACATATATTCCATGTTCTATATTCCAAGACATATTACCCTGTGCGTTTGTTTTATATTATCAACACCACTCTTAGAGCATAAGCAGCTCATCAACTGCAATAATAGAGCATTTAAATATGTTATTTTAGGAAAATAACCACACTACACAATCACATCACTCTAGCACCTTAAAAACACTTTGTTTTTAAGACATTTTGACATTTTGTTTACCTCATATTTTATTCTTTTTAGTTGTTGTAATTTTAACACTTAGTTGTCGTAATTTTAACACTAATTTTACAACTTTTTAGTTGTCATAATTTTAATTTTAAAGTCTGGTCAGTAGAGGGAACAGTGCACTCACTGCTTGACCTCAAACTCCCCCTACAAGCACGGCCAAGCTGCTGAATGCTGTTGTTTTACTGGCTCACTACTGAAACATTTGCATTAACTAGGGTGTGCTTCATGTAAATGATATGTAAATGCACCAACAGGTCAGCGCTTGATTTCATGCACTCAAGCTCAAATCTTGGCTTGTTTCCTTGCTGTAGGAAAGTTTAATGAATCAGACACCTCACTAAAGGCAGTCAAATCTGCACTATTGTTGCACAACTTTGATAAATAAGGAGGGTCTAAGGCATCCAGCAGCATATTCATAACTATTTCATCTAATAACTTTGTGAGGCAGCTTTTAGAGGCATTTAACTCTTCCAACAAATGGTTCCCATCACCACCACTGTGAATAAGTTTCATCATTATCACTTTTATTTATTTAGGCTTTGTGTGCAGCTGCTTAGCCATGGAATCCAATTTCACTAAGTTCTGAACACACTGTTCTTAAGCTGTCTAGAACACTGTAGTAAGAGGATAAGCCATTTTTAAAGCACTCAGTGGTCCTGCTCTGTAAGTGTGTGTGGTCTACCATCTCACATCAAAGCTGCTGTTGCTTCCAGATGCTTTCATTTCACAATAATAGCACTTACAGTTGACAGGGGCAGATCTAGCAAGGCAGAAATTTCATGAACTGGCTGGGGGCAAAAGTGGCATCCTATGACAGTGTTTAATGTGCCTGAGCCCTTCAGTAAGACCCCCTGTTTGTCTATGGAGATTGCACGGCTATGTGCTTGATTTTATACACCAGTCAGCAATGGGTATGGCTGAAACCTTAACTCAATAATTAGGAGGGGTTTCCACATACTTATGTCCATATAACGTAGAAGAATATTACAGTGGTCCCACCTCTAGCTTTCAAATGCACGTATAAGTGTTTCTACATCTGCTAGGCTAATTAGGGGCTGAAGGCTTGTAATGGTATCGAGATGGAAAAATGCTGTGTTAACTATACAACTGTAGTGTACGTGAAAAGGGAGTGCGGGACCAAAGATAACTCCAAGATTGCGAATGTTAGCAGAAGGCATTAATAAAATGTCATAAATATTAATACCAAGGGGTCGGCAACCCAAATGTTAAGAACAGCCATTTTGTCCTTCCAATAAATATCAAACCGTCTTGAGAGCCACAACATTTTATATCCATTTTACCGTCTTGGCTGTAAATATGTCTCAGTTTATGCTAATGTACTAGTACAGGCTAAAAAATATAACATAAATGAAAACGCAGACTTACTTTGATCTGCTTTAAGATCAGCTATAACTGCTTTTCTCACATCTCTGGCAGGAAACTTTTCCTCAAAAGTAGAATAGATTCTTGTAAAATGTCTCTCGATGTTCGATTTTTTACAAGGCTGAAGTCGCTTCTCATTCTCCAGCTTCTTGTTCAAATTTTCCTGTTCCACCTTAAATGCTGCCTGAGGTGCAAGGATGTAACTGCTGCACCATTTAAGGTGGAATGGGAAAATTCGAACGAGAAGCTGACTTCAGCTTCACAAACTTTGTGTTTGACAGTTTCTCGTTGCAGATTAAACGTATTAGGAAACCAGCTGAGCGCTTATAACTGCATATGAGTCCGTTCGTCTCCAAATTACCGATGTTTGCCTTTTCATTAGCTACTAGCTAGGTGAGGCTGTCTGCCGTTGCTATGGTGACCAGCAGTCTATGCGCCAACCTTTACAGTTTAAGGGTGAATTAGCAGTTATGTATTATACAACTCCAGCGTTTAAGACCATTTACTGTTAAAACTGTGTAAAAACAATCAGCTAAGCTATAATTTACCGCAAAGTTATTTTTACCTACAAATCTAATTCTGCTGTGGAGCCGCAACAGGACAGTAAAAGAGCCGCACAGTGCCGACCCCTGACCTAGAAGTTAGAGCTTGTTTAAGAGTTATTAAAAGCATCTCAGTTTTGTTGGTGTTCAGGTGTAAAAAACACTCATCCATGACTTTGTGGCAGGTGACGTTATAGTCTGAGCAAGGCTGACACTAACATAGACCTGAGTGTCGTCTAAAAGTGACAATTCTCTGTTCTCTAGAATGCGTTGTCTTACATCAGGCCCATTTAGCACATTTACAAATCCTTCCACAAACACAATGGGCTGCGGAAACTCAATGCTGGTGAGAGATAAATCTCCCTTTCCCTTTAAACAATAGATGGACCCAAGGAGCTCTGCGCTGGGGTTACACAGGCAACTGCCATCAATATTAATGCAGCAATTAACCCAGGCTTAGCACTGCAGGTGTGCTGAGGACTGTGTTAGGCCAATGTACCGCCAGAAGCTCAATACTCACGCACCCACACACATGCACGCAACCAATTACACTAATTGCAATGAGCTAATTAATTAATCATATTCGATTGTAAAGAGGACAACAGGAGGAAGATACAAAGTCGTGCACGGAGCTACATCAGTCCACCTCACTTCACAAAGCATTGCATTAACACACTGCAGCTGGAATAATAATATTAACACCATATAAATGACAATAAATATCACTATTATTGTCTTGTTTATTTTTCATTACATTTAACATGGACAGGACAATCAACATGGCAAAAATAGTACACTGATATAAAGTCCTTAGTTATAATTACTTTTGATATTAATATTAATATGGCAATCATCATAATAAAACCGGATTACTGTAGTGTAACACTACTATAATATGTGTATATTCATATAATACCTGTGTTTATCATACTGTTGTCTATGGTTATTAATATAAACAGGATTATCAAATGAAATACAAAACAAAAAAATTTTTAATTCAAGGATTCATTAGTAAACACAGTGTTTATATACAGAATAGAACCATCTGAATGGTTAAACCTTTTGCTAAGAGTGTGCATCATAGTCATTATAATAAATTTACATAATGACACTACAATTGCTATTGTCATTAACATTAACAGGATTATTATCATTGCAAAAATGTCAAAGCAAATGTTAATGCATTAATATAATGACCCTACTTATCATTTCTATTGTCTATTGTCTTTAACATTAATAGAATCGTCATGTCAAAAACAGATATCACAGTATAACTGTAACTGTCACGCTAGACAATCTACATAATGATATTATAATTTCTACTGTCATTAACATCAGTAGGATTATTATCATGGCAGAATAGTAAATATTATTGCATTGATATGTTGACTATATCATCAATATTGTCTGTTGTCGTTAAAATTAATAGGGTTATCAGGTCAAAAATAGTTACTACACTGTAACTGTAACTGCCCTATAGTGAATCTACATGACACTATCATTTCTACTGTCATTACCATGAATAGGTTGACCGTCATACTACATAGCACTTACTGTGGTCACATTAGTTAATTGATAAGTACACCAGTAATAATCACTGTTGCCAATCAATTATTATTGATTATCTAAATCAGCTTGATTCATATTATTATCATCATTTGTAAATTGCACAAAATAATAACAAAAGGATTAAACATATATTTTAAAGTATATGTACACATAGGTTATGTACATATAGATGATGTACATATATATAGCAAATATTGGACATATATGCATTATATGTGGATCATGTCTGTCAGGTGGGTGAACACATGCATAATATATGGTATATCAGTATATCATATATCATATACTGTTACACACATATGTTTGTATATGTTACTATATATTTGAAAATGGCCAATTTCAAATACATTGGCTTATATGTCATGTACACTGACTGGCCACTTCATTAAAACCACCTCCTTATATCCACACTCACTGCCCATTTTATCAGCTCCACTGTGCTGCTGGAGTTTTTAAACACTGCGTCCACTCACTGTCCACTCTATTAGACACTTCTACCTTGTCGGTCCACCTTGCAGATGTAAAGTCAGAGATGACAGTTCATTTGTTTTTGTGTTGGTCATCCTCTAGTTATTCATCAGTGGTCAGAAGACACAGCAGCACTGCTGTGTCTGATCCACTCGTACTAGCACAACACACACTAGCACACAATTATCCACCACCCAAATAGCACCTGATCTATGGTGGTCCTGTGGGGGTCCTCCCTGATGAAAAAAAAAAACAGCATAGACCAGCATGGCTGGTCACCAGTGAAACCAGCATATGTTGTGTTTTGAATGCTGGTATGCTGGTCAACCAGCATTACTATGCTGGGGTGAGCAGCTAAACCAGAACCAGACCAACATAAACCAGCACAGATCAGCATGAAATGCTCGCCGGTCTGTGCTGTTTCTTTCAGCAATGCTGACCATTGAACAGAGTAAAAGGGGGCTTACAAAGTATACAGAGAAACAGATGGACTACAATCTGCAATTGTAGAACTACAAAGTCCACCTATCCTAGGTTTACCTAATAAAGCGCTCAGTAAGTGTATTAATTCATTGCCACGAGAAACTTATCTCATGGCCATTAATTATTAACATATAAACACTGAAACATAAACATTTGTGGCCACGCCTCATTAAATAATAGACACCATGTCACCTTAGGGGCTCCTTAGGGAACCGTGAAGCTAAATAAAGGTGCGTGCTGGCAGCCGAAAGCCCCCCAACATGCTCTGAGGAGCTGAGGAAGAGGGCGTGTACACCACGCAGCGTCGTCGAGAGACACTACAACTAAACCAGGAGACAAAACCACACCGTGGAGACCCTCATGAGCTTCTTACCTGCTCCGACATCGTCCTCAGTTGCTGTTTGCTCACAGAGAAGCTCCTTGGTAAGGAGGAACTCCCTCCATGACATGTTCAGCGGGCGCCAAAACGTGAAACGTACCGTCGCCGTCCTCCTCTCCTCCTCTCCTCCTTTCCTTCTCTCCTTTTCGCGGGTGTTTCTGTCACCAAAACGGCTCGTACGCTACCGCATGACTTTCCGTGAGGGAAAAAAGAGCCAGCGCCCTGCCTGGTCCCCCTTCTCTCTCAGAGGACAGCCGACAACACCGCTGCGAGCTCTCCGCTGGCTGTACTACACCTGCTCGTGAAAGTCTTTGTAGTGGCTCGCCACGAGAAGAGCCAGGCGGAGCCACGCCCCTCTCAGCAGCTCCGCCAATGAACGCACCTGTTTTCTCTCGGAGAGAGGCGGAGAGAGGCGTTATGGCCACGCCCCCTCTCTGTGTTTATGTTGTGTTCTTGTGGCTTTTTTTTTTTGCACTCTATTTGCATACAATACTGACGCATGACGTCATTTGAGACATTACGTCCATTTTCCTCTTCACGAAGCTTCGCTTTGCCTCTGAAAATTTTATGAGCTGAATCGTTCAGTTTAGTGATTTTTGATTAGGCAATAACATTAAAGCGGAATTATACCACTTTTTCAAAATGCTGAGATGTAAACGGAGTCATTCAGAGTGGTTTGACGTGAAAATGGGTCCTTGTAGAGAAACTTACAGACTGATTTCTTTGCAGGGTGGTGATAGGAACCAGGGGTCGCCATGTCTACAACATGAATATTGCGATTTTATTTACTAGCCAAACCACCAGTGAACCTACATGTGTCTTCTGAGTTTGATTATGTAATGTTGATAATTGTAAAATAGTCATAAATGTGAAAAAAACAAGTTTTCGTTGGGGACTATTTTGCCTTACAATGGCATGTATCCCTCCGCCATGAATGGATTAAAATAAATGGAAGCTTTGCTTTGCCATATAAATGTATATGTAATGTTGATAATGGTAAAATAGTCATAAATCTGAAACAATAAGTTTTCTTCGAGGACTATTTTGCCTCACAATGCTCTGCATGTATCCCTCCGCCATGAATGGATTAAAATAAATGGATTCAAATGCATTTGTTATCATAAAAAAGTGTTTCAGACACCAGGCAGCTTATATCTAACTAGTTCATGTATTAACTCTCAGAGGTGGACGTCTGGTTCCTATCACCATCACTGTGAATAATTCTGACTTGGCAAGTTTCTCCAGAATGGAGCACTTCACACCAAACCACTCTGAATGACTTTGTTTACGTCTTAATGATTTAATTATGTAGGGTTTTTCTTTTCAGAAAAAATTTGTGGCCTGCATATTCACACACTGGGAAAAATGAAAAGTTTCCTCTGTTGAAGTCTATTAGGGTGGTGGACATTTGCGTTATGGCTTCTTAGGCCAGACCCCTTAATAAGATACAGTGGTAATGTGTGCAACATGGTCTTAAGAAGCTGTTGAAATGGGAATGGACAAATGACTTTCTACAGTGGGCATAAAAACACTGCACTGTTGACTGTGGCGAGTGGTGTTTGGACAACTCATGTGGCAAGTCATCAACTGTGTAAGGTGCAAAAAAATATGACTCAACATAGCTGAATGTTCAATCACCACAGAACTATTCAGCGTCCTAGAAAATAATCTGAATGTATTATAGCATCTGCAAGGAAGAGGTGGGACAAGCATAGTGAATCAATGGAATTGTATTTTATTTCCACCATTTTGTAGTGGTGTCTGAATACGTAGTGCAGAATATCTAGTGCACTCAAACAATCCCACAATGCATCGCAATTAGAGTAGTGTACACCTGTTGTACCTTAGCAGATAGTGGATACCCATAATGCCCTGTGCTCCTAGGTTTGAAGGTTCACACACAGCTTTAGCACCTACCTCAAACAAATGTATGTTACAAATGTAAGTGAGGACTTCTTATGTGGGCCGCCAAGCTCAGCGGTTAGTAGACTGGTGGCGTGACGTTTATAGTGCTTATGTGACGAAATCTGCTGTCACACAGTAATGAGCAAACCTGTACAACATAGTGTCTGAAAATGTTTACCACCATCACAAATTATGTTCCCTTTAATAGTGTTCTACATAGTGATCCAGGTTTCTGCAATTGAGCCTTGCCGCACTGATCCGTTCACGGTCTTTTGCTGGGCGCCCTCTTCCTCGCCGTCCACTTTGAAGTTCCTCAAGCGCCTTTCCACTCCTTGCAGCAAGGGGGGCACTATCCCATTTCTGACACCACTGTGGCATCAGCATTGAATAAGAAATGGGAGACGTTATTGAACAGGCAGCAAGGGGAAAGCTTCGCTCTTCGCTCCTGAATCACAGGGCATAGTGGGGCAGGTCACCAAACAACCCATAGCGAGCACAATAAAGCACAATCAACATGTAACACCTCTTAAAACAGGCACCACAGTATTTTTACATGAAAATACTCAGTACAACTGAACATCCTTTACATTATACTTGAGTACATGTAACTGAGTAAACTTAACTAGTTGGTACCGACCTCTGGAGAGGGGTAAGCAAGACGCAAAATACAGGGGGTCCTGGGCAGTCTGGGACCCCCTGATTAAACTAAAAAAATAAACTTGTGACGTTATGCTGTCCATTATGGAAAAATAGAAAATACGAACTCGTGGGAAGGTCATTGTTTAGCTGCTTTACCCAAAGTCTACAAGCTTCTGTCTTTGGTATTCTTAACTAACTGGTGATACAGCACTGGTCTACCTCAGGGTGGCGCTGTAGCAAACTGAAAAGTTGCTCTATTTCACAAGAGATTGGTGGAAAGACTGAACTGTTACTCACTTCTCAAACTGAAGACAAAGACATGTGTAAGATCTCAATTAATGTGTGGAAGAGAGCATTTCCAATAGAAATATTGTTGAACCGAATATTTTGTTTCCGTTGAAGCCAGAATCAGTGCCACTGTGGCAAGTGAGTTAGCAGCCAGCTAACATGGGACCCCCCAAAAACCAGGAGGGATTTTGCACACAGGGGGTAGGTACTCACACAGCCTTCTAGTGCATGGTTACACAAACAACACTGGCCAAATTCACTAGACATATTAACACACATACAACTGGCTGCGCATTGTATTATTACAAACAGTGATTAAATGCAGCTCGATGGAAAGTGTAAACAACTTCAATAACTCACGAGGGCTCACAAGACATGCAAATGAGCTGGAGAACCACGCATGGCTATAGTCACCAATGTATTCTGAAGGGATGACAGAAAGCTCGGATTCTGTACCAATTTTCAGGCAACAATATGCTGGACATCATAAACTATAAGCTGCTACTTCCCTCCCTGTGCTTATACTATCTATTCTCTCCATACTAACATAATATAAATGTGACATTATTAATTCATTTGGTCATTTATTTGCAGGCTATAGGCTACAAGGAGCGAAAGGAGTAACTCGTTTGTCCCTTTACATGAATTAATATAATTGGGGGGGGGTTGAACAGGACCATCTGGTGCAGCCACAGAAAAGAAATCACAACAGCTATTAAACTGCTTTTGAAGATATAACACTCTAATCTCATTAAGAATTCACAAAGTGGAAAATGGTTGGTACAATATGGTTAGAGAAACATATTAACATTGGCAAGAAGTCCAAACATGCTCAGGTATTTCCACTGGCTTTAATGGCAAGTTGTAGATGTTAATGCTTTTATATACAAATCACTAAAAAATATGCTTTTTTTATGTTTTAGTACTCAGAACTACATAGAAGCTCATTCATTTTTTACTTTATATGAATATCACAATATCACAATTATGGAGCTCTCTATGTATATCAACACTGTGTAATGGACGTGAAACAAGGGTAAAGAGCATAATTCTTCATGAAAAAAGATTTGCAATGTGTTTCTAAGCACCCCTGCTTCTCTTCTCAGCCCATGTCTGTTAGCCTTTGCCTCGTGTCCTTTCTTTACCTTCACCTAACATTACCCTTGCTCCCCGATGGTTTAATCCCTGGAAGCATATCATGTTAGCTATTAACAAGTGGACCACAAGAGCAATGTTACTTAGATAAACATACATAATCAGGCACTTAGTGTACTTTATCTTGCCATTTGTGTTGCTTCTGATTGCTTTATGAATGAATAAACTAAGGAAAAAATATATTACAGATGGTCAGGTCAGGTAGATTTAAAGCAGCTTTAATTTTGACTATTAGCCTCTGCCACTGTTTTCATACAATGGTCATTAAATGATTTGATTTTCCAAAAGGAATGAATGGTGTGCAAAATCTGTGCACCAACCTGATACAAGTCAAATAGCAACACCTTATTAACCATGTGGGGTACCATAGCAACCAGCAAGCAACACTCTAGCAACCACCTGGTATAGGATACCTTAGTAACCACCGTGCAACACGTGTGACAACCACCTGGGACACCACAGCAACCGTCTAGCAACACCTAAGCAACCACTTGGGATGCCATAGCAACCACCTAGCAACACCCTAGCAACCACTTGGGATACCGTAGCAACTACTTAGCAACACTCTAACAACCGCTTGGGAGATCATAGCAACCAGCTAGCAACCAGCTTCAATACCATAGTAACCACTTAGCAACGCCTGAACCACCAACTGGAATACCATAACAACCACTTAGCCACACGTTAGCAACCACTTGGGATACCTTAGCAACCACTGAGCAACACCATAGCAACCACCTGGGATATGACGGTGTAGCAACATTAACAGATTCTTACTGAGTTTAAGTGGCCGCGGCAGGACAAACACTAAAATATGCAGGACAGTGGTCCACCAGGACCACCAGTTGGGAAACACTGATCTTTAGCAAGTATGAGCAGAGCCAGTTTATGAGGAGCCTGGCCGCTTCCTATTTCCCTTGTTATATCAAACAGAGGACTGCCAGAGAGCGCCCACGAGTGAGTCCTTGAATGGAGCTAAACGGCTAAAACCAAAAAGTTAAAATAGTTTCTAATCACTTGCCCAGGACTTTCTTTTAATTTTAGAAAGTAGAAGGGTGTATTTCTCTAAAAAAGCAAAGGAAGCTCACCTGTATGTTTTCTTTTTTTCTACAGCAAATTGGTTTTGGACAGCAGGATGCTGGCATTACTGCTACTGAGTACTGATTAGTCTTAGCACTTGAAGAGTCAGGTGGAGTTTCCCAGAAGTAGACTCAATCATCTTTGGCTGGAGAGAGTTGTTTCCTGTGGAAGTAGAATATTGTGCAAAAGTCAGAAACCCCCTCATTTATTTA